AGGTAGGCAGAGTCCAGCTGAACTGGACTCTGCCTACCTGTAACTGAAATCCATTACAGTAAACTCTCACAGTAATGGGCTAAAGGGGCAAAGTGGTGACTCTTAAAGCCAAATGTCTGTTAAATCAAGGATTTACCCTAAACTTAATAAAAGAAATCAGCACAGCAAAGCTGGAGCACACCACCCTCAACAATTTACAGGGATACGCTTGGATGGCAGCAGAGGGCAGACCAAGAAGGAAAAGCAGTGGGAAAATTGGGGGACCCTCCATTCTTCCCAGCCCCTTCCCTTCTTTACTGCTCCTCTGTCACCACCAAAGTCCCATCACAGCTGTGAGAGATGGTGGGGAGGCTGAGAAAGGCATGGAAGAGGACACAGACATAAATGCTCAAGAGATAGAAAGCAGTCTGTTGGCAGTTATCTCATAAATAGCAACTCAGCCCAGGTGGAGAGAAAGCTGAGAAGAAGCGTTTCAAAACTTTCCAAGAATCTCCACCTTAATGAACCCCCTAGAAAGGAGGGTGGGAAATTCCTCTTGCAGTTTCCAAAACTCTGCATTTATCCCAGGACTAGCATTAAAGAGACCTGACTGAAATCTGTGCACTTGTTGCCCAGCTGTGTGCAGTGGAATATCTCCATCCTGCAGATTTTGCCTGTTAAATCAGAAGTTTGCTAAAACCAAGGTTCCTTAAATGGAGCATTTACTGTATTCCCTGCCCTGAGCTCTAGAGCAAGAGAACTCTGGAGCTTCTTCTGTGTGACATCCTTTCAGGAATCAGAAGGGAACAATCATATTCCCTTACCTTCTCCTGGCTAAAATGCCAAACTCCTTCACTCTCTTCATAAGACTTAATTTCTAGTCCTCCAATCATTCCCACTGATCTCCTTTAAATCGTCCCAGTTTGTCTAAATCTTTCATATGAGGGGGCGCAGAATTGGACATGGTTCTGAAGCTGATGGACACCGAATAAAGTGGAATGACTATTTTCTGTGATTTGTACACAATCATTTACTGATGCAGCCTAAAACAGTTTTCCTCTCTAACATTTTAGCAAAGTTTGACATTGCAGTTAAATCGCTCAAGCGGGTTGTCATTGTTAATTATTAGAAATAGAAGTATTTTACTTTAAGAAGGTCTTGAACATCATCAGTGCTAAATACATCGAAAACTTCCATGACACCCGAGCTGGCTTTGCTAACAACTGGCGTCAGGGAGCAGCTGTGAATAGAAAAGCAAAAGTTTAGAAAAGAACCTGCCCCCGCAAAAAGGAGGACAAACCTTCAAGACTATCTAAAAGGCCACATATTAGAAAATGCAGCTTAGCACAACACGGGTTGCAAAACCCCAACCCAAACCTGTTTGTTACAGGTTTGGTGTCGCTCACTCTCAAGAAAAGCGAGACCGCCCCCTTAGTCAGTTGAGATATGGGGCCTCACAGCAGCTGCAAGGCCCGCGATCCAGTTTCACACACACACCATTGTTGGATTGCGTTCTTATTTCCAGACTATTACTGGGGATGGAGGCTCCTTTTCTGACTATCAGAGCTAGTAACTCCCACACTGGCTCAACTCAAAGATGGACAGGTAGTCCTCGCTTAATGACCATTCATTCAGCAAGCGTTCAAATTTACCACAGTGCTGAATGAAGGGACTTATGACCCACACCCAAAGTTACGGCCGTTGCAGCGTCCCTGTGGTCACGTGATCGTGATCTCGGCGAGCAGTTTGCACTTATGACTGGTTGCCAAGCGCCCCGTGATCATATCAACGTCATTTGCAATCTTCCCTGCTGGCTTCCTCAGAAAGTCAACGCGGAAGTGGCAGAGAAGGTCGCAAGCCACTGCCGCCTGCCAAGAGGACTCCCTCCTATCTCTGGGGGTTGGCTAAAAATGTCCCCTGCCGAAATGCAAACAGCCATGGTGGATTTTCACCTTCAGAGTGGAGAGGCTTCAGAAGCCTCTCGACTCGGGCTGAAAATCCAAGCAGTTCTGAGGTCCTCATGCACCCACCCTGCACTGCACCCCACACACCCTCCCCAACCCTCCCACACAACCTCACATTCCCTCCCCCACCCGCAGCACCTGAGGCTTGCAACTTCCTGCCGGCTTCCCCACTGAATTGTGGAAGCCTGTAGGAAGTTGCCGCACCTAACAACCCATGATTCTTGCTTAACAACGGCAGCTGGGAGTGCCAATATTGTGGTCACTAAGCGAAGTGGTCACATGATGATTCACTTAATGACCTCTTCGCTTAGCGACCTAAATTCTGGTCCCAATTGTGGTCATTAAATGAGGACTACTTGTATCTCATCTAGCAGTCAGCTGCCAAGAGAGGCCAACTGGAGACAGCTCTGCTCTTCTACCTCTGGTGTTCAACAAAGGGCCCCCTTTCCCTGCTTCAACAGTTCTGCCTTCCACGAACTTCAACTTCTTGCTTGGCTTATTGGCTGTGAACAGGCCACTGGTTCGAGGATATCTGACCAAGCAGACTGGCCATTCTCCATTCAAAAACAAGGCCATTCCTCATCAAGAACTTGTGATACAGTCCGATATTTGAAGAGCCATCACACAGATAACGGAATCCGCTTGTTCTCTGTGGCTCTGGAGCAGCCATCCCCAACCTGGTGCCCTTCGGGTGTTGGGACAGCCACTCCCATAATGCTAAGTGAGTACAGAAATGCTACCCAGGGCTGATAAGCAAATATTACTTTTCCCAGCCTGAAAAGGACCTACTCACCTGTTCCTTTCACATGTCACAATCCCATCGACTCCTAGGAAGTGTGCTGTCCGCAGGACTGCCCCCAGATTCATGGGATCATGTATCCTCTCCAAAACCAGCCAGATACACTGCGATCCCTTGCCAACCGGGATGCGTCGGAGTGGCCCTTCCTGCCATGCCAAGGGGTGAAGGGGTGAGGCTTCCAGGCAAACCCCCTGATGGACGCCCCCCTTACAAAGGGCATCCAGCACCTTCCTGTGCACCCTCTTCACTGGGATCCCATGGTCCTCGGCATACTGGGAGAATTTTTCTGCCACGGGGGATGCCCCGTCTCGGCTCGATTTGAGGAAGAGCTGGAAAAATGTCCGCTTCGACCTCCCGAGGGCTAAGGAGCAGGGGGCTGTCCCAAATAAGACCTCCGAGCCCTTGGTCCTTTCTGGGAGAACCAGATTTCGCTGCAGCCTTTTCCGTTTGGAGACAAAATCGTCATTTCTCAGGTTCCTGAATTCTTCCTTCGTGGTGGATGGCACAGCTTTGGTCAGAAAGTTTGGCCTGGACTTATTCTGAGGAGCACCAGCCTTGTGACCTGTCTCACCCAGATGTGGTTTTGAGTTCAACAGGTGAGTTTCCTGAAGTCTCGACTTTTCAAGGGAATGACCAGCCTGCAAAGCTGTAATTTCTTTCTTGCTTACTTCGCTGGGCGGCTGCTCTTCCAACAACGGCGGTTTCTTCCACGCCGAGAAGCAACGGATGCTTTTGAAAGGACTGATAAAACAAATGACAAAGGGCAACTTTGCTGCATTTCGGAAGCCAATGTTAAAAGCGTGGAGAGGCTCCATTTCTGCTGCTTGTATTTCTTGATGTGTAACCTTAACAAAGGAGGTGGATTAATATACGCAATGCAATGATTCCTGGGTCAAGGATTCCCAACCTCTTCCAGACTTCAGCTGCCAGAATTCCTCAGCCAGTATGGCCATTGCTGAGAATTCTGGGAGTTGAAGTCTACACATCTGGAAATAGCAACTGTTGGGAAATGCTGCCCCTGACCAAAATAAGAGCTCTGGGCTCCCCCAAACCCCTAAACATGTCCCCCAGAACTTTTCCAAAAGTTGCCACTGCGATGTATTTAATACGACAAAAGGGGGACCTACTTCAATACTGAATTCATGGAGAATAATCGTATTACAGTATTTGCATTTAATTAATTTAAATATAAATAAAATAAAAGAGCCAGTTTGGTGTAGTGGTTAAGGCACCATGCTAGAAATTGGGAGGCGGTGAGTTCTAGTCCCGTCTTAGGCACAGCTGGGGGACTTTGGGCCAGTCCCTCTCCCTCAGCCCTAGGAAGGTGGCAAGGGCAAACCACTTCTGAAAAACCTTGCCAAGAAAACCGCAGGGACGAATCCAGGGCAGGAGTCAAGACTGACTTGAAGGCACCAAAAAAATAAAATAAAATAAAATAAAATAATAAAAATAAAAGAAGTCAGTTGCCACTCTGGCTGTCCACTTTTGATGCAATACTAGGGGATAGGAAAAAAATGGTTAGAAGAATTTAGGGATCCAACGCTCCTTTGATTTCGCAAATAGGGTTGTTGCGGGACAAAACTGAAGGAAAGAGTGCTGTGCTCTAAATTTATTTATTTAAAAATAATTTATTTTAAACATTTACTTCTCTGCTTTCCAGAAAGGGTGGGATGTGATGAAAAAGAACAGCGTGAATGGAAAGGAAAATGTCAAAAAGGCATGCCCTCCCCCCCAACACACACACACACAGATTCCTCCTTCCATCCTGGCCAGCATGAACTCCTAAGAGTTTCGACAAAATACTTTCCCCACTAAAATGTCACACACACATTACAACAGGGGAGCCTTAGTTCAGGCTTGTGTGCATGGCGAGGGGATGACAAAACCTGTGATTCCCAGCATATGGGGATGATGTAAACTGGAGTCTGATCTACCAAGAGGGTTTCAGGCTGCGTTAGCCTCAGTCACACCAGGGAGAGATTTCAAGATGCACCCAAAACTTCTCTGGGGAAGAATGAAATATGGTATAAACCAGTGTTTCTCAACCTCAGCCTCTTGTAGATGGGTGGACTTCAACTCCCAGAATTCTGGGAGTTGAAGTCCACCCATCTTCAAGAGGCTGAGGTTGAGAAACACTGATATATATGACCGAAAACGTAGATGCTACGCAATGCACACATTTTCTGACAATCCAGCTTGGAGGATTGTCTTTGGCAAAGGGAAGAAGCCCTACATACGCGTCCACCGTAGCCCAGAAACGGGATCCCGCCAGATCCTCCCAGACCTGCAAACGCAGGACTTCAACAATTCCTACCTCCCTCGGCGCCACGTGGGTCGCGCTCCGCTTCCGGGTCCAGGAAGGAACGCCCTCCCGACCATAGAGTCCAAGCGGCGGCCAGAGAGGCCCTTGCTCTTTGGTGCCACCTGCTGGCCAAAGATTGAGCGGCTCGACGTGCTGAGCATCCGTAGAAACCTCGCGATTGACTGGCCGGGGATGATGGGGACTGTAGTGCTGGCCATGGGAAGGTAGTCGGTCCGGGAAGGCTGGGTTGGCAGAGAGTTGCATGACTCCTGGAATGACGAAACTGTTACACTGACGGTGAAAAGCAAAGAAGTTCAGATAGGAAGACTATCGACACCTTTCAATTTTGGTGATGGAGAAGACTCCGGAGAAGACCGTGGACAGCCAAGAAAACAAACCCATGGATCATCAAACAAACCAAGCCAGAGATCTCACTCCAGGTAGAAATGACCAGGCTCAGATGATCCTACGTCGAACACATTATGGGAAGACCGAGCTCTCTGGAGAAGGCTCTGATGCTGGGAAAGGTGGAAGGAAAGAGAAGAAGAGGACGGCCAGCAGAAGGTGGGGGGTCTCAGTTACAGTGGCGATGGGGGCACCATTGGAACACCTGAAGGACCAGGTGGGGGATGGACCATCCTGGAGAAGGACTACCTACGTGAACACTCAGAGTTGACATTGACTTGATGGCACTTAATCGATCAATTAAAAAAAGGTGGAAGCCAACACGTTTTGCTTTGCACTCTCAATATTCTCGCTTCATCGTATGCACACAGGCTGGATTCCCAAGCCACGCCCTCGGCTAAACTGAGATTGGATAGTTCATGACTGAGCATTTTCTAGGAACCCCGCTGTTGCCTTCCCAGCTGGGTGGACACCGCAGTTGTGTTTGTCAACCTGGGTTTTGAATGTGGTGGGAATCCATCCTGACGCTTGTTCAAGCAGGCAAAGACAGAAAGGAAAATGCCCTCTGGACTGGCACCAGGGAAGCCCAGCTTGGGAGCCTCCCCTCAGCCATGGACTCTCATGGGGTGACTTTTCCCTACCCCCACCCAGCCTAACCTACCTCACAGGGTTGTTGTGGGAAAAAATGGAGAGGGAAGAGTGGTATGTATGCTAGGAGGAAACATGGGATATAAATTAAATAAATGATTCTGGTTTTGGTTGTGGTGAAGGGGTTTGTTTTGTTTTGTGTTTTGGTCTCCCTAATCCCTGCAAAGTTTAATTTTTAACAAATCTTTAGCTGCAGAAACTCTAAATCATTAACTGCCTCCTCCTCGGTTTCAAAACAAATCCGTCCTAAGTCCAGTGTGATGTTTTGGAAACAGTCTCCCTGAATTTGCCAAGGGGACATGTTTTCGACACTAAGACAGAAGCAGGGAAGCGTAGCAGCCAAGATTAAACTAGGAATTCTCCATTACCTTATGCAACCCAGAGTTTTTCAGCTTCAGCTCTGCCCATCTACAACATGAAAACAAAAATAAAACTGGCCCATTTTGGTTGAATTTATGGGTGCCGGCCTGAAAGCAAGCCTTATTTCTGAGTAAACGTGTGCCAGGCTGTGCCATTAAATCTTTTATAAAATATTAACTCCACACCTGCTCGTTTTGTGCACATCCTTTCTTACCAGTTAAAGAAACAAGATCTCCTTACCGCGTTCTCAATTAGGAAATGTGTTGCAAGTTATCTCCAGCTGCAATGATGGACCTGCTATGAAGGGAAAATAAGCAGGTTTGCATGTGTGGATGTGTTTACACAGAGGGGGATGTCCACGAGGGGGACAGGAGTCGAGAGTGTCAAAATGGCAAACCTGACTGGGCAATCCAAGCCCCGCCCCTTTTTTGTGGGGGTCACATGATCTCCTGCCAGCAAGAGGTCAACTTGCTCTGGGCAAACCATAAATTGCAGGAATGCCCACTTCCTGGTAGGCATCCTACAGCTGCTCTGCCTTTTTGCTCAGCTTCCCTCAAGCCTTTAGGACCAAGAGAGCCCCATGTTGGGTTCTTGGTGTTCCCTCAGCTTGGTGGTTTTCCTGAAGACGTTTCCTTACCAGGCTAGCTAACAACATCAGTGCAGGGGAGAGTTGGAGTCTGCCAGCTGTTTCTTATATCAAGCCATTGCTCTGCCAGTCTTAGTTGGGGTGTGGATCCATCCTTGATTATTTCTTCCAATAGAATATCTTCTTCCAATAGAAGAGAATATCTGTAGCTCAGGGTTGAACGGTGGAGTCCTTGGGCCTCTCAGAGCTTGGTGGTTCTCTTGCAGACGTTTCATGACCCAACTAGGTAGCATCATCAGGGCGAGGGAGTGGGGGGCTTGCTGCCTGTTTATATGAAGTGGCTGGCCCTGCCAGTTTTGGTGGGGGTGGGGATGTAGTTTCCTCCTTGGGGCGGAAATTACACCAAGGAGGAAACTACACCCCATGCAAAACTGGCAGGGCAAGCTCCTATATATAAACAGGCCCCACACTCCCTTGTCCTCCATAATTTCTTGACGATCACAGAAAGAGGCTCTGAGGTGACATCTGGAAACTCCTTCAAGGCTCTTAGATAGGATAACCCTGGTTCTGGAGACTAACTCATTCATGCTATCCAGGTGCCTCCTAACCATCTCTTCACTTACCTTGGATTGCCACTCCCTCCTTCGGAATCCTCGGTGCTCTCTGAGCTTGGTGGTTTGCTTGCAGACATTTCATTACTCAACTAGGTAGCATCATCAGTGCTGGTGAGCGTGGGGTTGCTACCTGATGATACTTAGTCAGGTAATGAAACGTCTCCAAGCTACCAACCAAGCTCAGAAACCACAAGAACTTCATAGTTCAACCCTGAACTACAGATGTTCTCTTCTATCAGAACCACATATGGGCGTCAGATGCTTCATGGGACAAATGTGCATGTAGGAAAACCTCCACCAAGGAACAACTTTTCTTTCTGCACAACTGCCTACACCACCATGCCCTGCCCACTGGTGTCAGATACAGACCTCCAATAAACTGCACAGCTGTTTTTTCCCCCCTTCCCTGTTTATCTGATGTGGTTTTGGGCTTATCTTGGGTGTTGGCTGCTAAGGAGCACGTGCTCTGGATATTTTTTAATGCAATTTGAGTCTGCTTGACTCCAGACCAACTCTGCGCAGCTTACACTGGATGGGTTGTCTGTTTCCTTCCTTGATTTTTGGTTGTATGTTTTAAATACAACCCCTTCTAGGTATCCGATGATGGCTGATTTCTCTGAATGCCAAGCTTGCAGGATTTCCCCAGCCTTTCTTTTTTAGTTCGAATGAAAATGTCAATAGTTTCCCAGTTGACTTCCCATTTTTATGCATAATTGCAAGCAAGGTACTACGTATCTATAAACAACCAGCAAACTCCACTCCCCCTTGCACTGATGATGTGGTCTCGCCTGGAAATGAAACATCTGTAGGAACACCAAGAACCCAACAGTCCAACTGTGGGCTACAGATATTCCATTCTACTGGAGGGTACCATTTGCTACCTAGATTTTTTTGTCACAGTGAAAAGTATTAGGAAATCATGGAGTTACATTTTAAAAATAAAAGAGGCCGCAACCGACATAAACCTGATCTTTGTCCATTCACAAGTTTGTCAGTTCCTGAATTTCTCCACCCTAATTCTCAGCTGGTATCAAGCAAGCTTGTCCAAAATGCCAGCCTTAAAAGACACCCTTAAAGCTGTCAGGCAATGAATGGATTTTTTAATACAGGTAGTCCTCGACTTACAACCACAATTGGGATCAGAACATGTCGCTAACCGATGCGCTCATTGAGTCGCACCCAATTTTATGAACTTTTTTGCCATGGTTGTTAAGTGAATCCAGCTTCCCCCATTGACTTTGTTTGTCAGAAGCCCTCTGGGAAGGTCGCAAATGGCGATAATGTGACCCTAGGAGGCTGCAACTGTCGTAAATACATGCCGGTTGCCAAGTGCCTGAATTTTGATCCAGTGACCGTGAGGATGCTGTGACAGTCGTAAGTGTGAGGACCGGTTGCAAGTCACTTTTTTCAGCGCTATCGTAACTTCAAATGGTCGTTAAACAAACAGTTGTAAGTCAAGGACTACCTGTAGCTTGATCAGTGGCCTTTGAACCTCTTATTGTAGGAGAACTATGTTAGCCAATGGCAGTGCTTTTCAAACTTGGCATTCTGGGACTTCAACTCCCAGAATTCCCCAGCTAACTGGCCTACAATACCCCAAATTTAGAAAGAGTCCAGTAGCACCTTTTGAAACTCACGGAAGCTTATGCTTTGAATAACCTTGTTAGTCTCAAACAGTCCTACCAGACTGTTTCCATCAGTTAATAATTGATTCTCATTGAATTTGCAAACTGCCTAAAACACAGACAGGGATATTGTTAGGCATATGAGATAACCAGCCATTTCTCAAACTAAAATAATGTTGCATTATCACAAGGATAGATGTGCATGTATAAGAACTGCGCTAAAAGCTCCCCATCGCTGTCTCTTTCATGCGTGCACAGAATCATGGGCACTCTTACCTCCCAGTTGCCTAACAGAATAAGGGATCCAAGCAGCACCTTTGTACTTCAAAACTGCCTGAAAAGAGCAGCTGGGGGAATCGGTGGTGTCCTACGTGGTACAGCCAAGCAGGGATGTGCTTTGTAAAAAGATGCGCAAGAACACGGGGTTCCCTTTTCTATACAAGCATATCTACATCTCTGCGTAAATGAGATTTCTCCCCATACATCAAAACGGACTTAGAGTGGCTGGATTTACATAATCAAAATAAAACAAAAATCTCCTTCAAACCAAGGTGGACTGCTGACAGTTTCACGAGTACATCCAGTAGTTTTCTTAGCCTGATGTGGAAGTGGTTTCCATTTGGACTGCCTTGTCCTCTCCCATCCAAGAACAAACCAGACCTGACCCTGCTTAGCTTTCCAAATCAGCCAAGGTGACCCAGGTGCAGCTAGACTCAACTGAAATGTGATCAGTTTGTGGCTTAACGTGTTGAGAGAAACCCAGCTAGACTCTTGGCATGTTATGTGGACCAAGCCATCCCCTTAAGCCGTAATGTGCTTTCTTTGGGCAGGCCCTGTGTGTGTGTGTGTGTGTGTGTGTGTGTGTGTGTGTGTGTGAACATGGCCACAGTTCATCCAGGTTTAGGGCTTAGTGTGTTACCACACCTCAGCCAGAGTAGATATTATAACCATATGATAGAGTTATTATTCTGTTTGAAATAATACAAAGGAGCAGCTACTCATACACTTCACAACACAACGCACACGAACAATAATCACTATTGCCCCTAGTGTCCCCAGGGGGCAAGGAGGGGCTAAAGTTGTCCCGTGCATTGTGAGTTTGTCGTGCAAATGACACCCTGGTAAGCGAGGTCATTGGCACTTTTAATGGACGCCTACGCCATTGCTCCTTTGCAAAGCATCCTTGGGAGCAGGGGCATGCAGGGAAGGGGGCTGTTTAAAAACACAAGATGGCAGCAACAACTGTACAATCAAAGCCCCGCCCCTTTTTTACATGCACAAAAGGGGCAGGGTTTGGATTGCACAATCGCAACCGCCATCAACTTTCCTGACTCCCTCCTCTTGCAGACACGCCTACCTGGGAGTGTAGATTTATAGATGGAAAAAGATAGCTACTGCATTCCTCAGAAACATCGTTCTGCACCTCCAGAATTCAGGCAGGGGGAGACGCAGGAGGACAGCTAAAGAGCTGCAAACGTCTGAACCTGCAATCCAAGTGCACCTCTCTCTAAGCGAACGGAAAATCGCTTCTTAGCGGCCCTGGTTTTGTTTTGTTCTGCTTTAATGGATATTAAGGCAAATCCTCAGTGCCCAGAAGACAGAAACTTCTGTTTTAACTGCTTGGGGGGTGACAATCTAGGAAGAAAGAGATGGAGTAGCAT